AAAGTAAACATAAGTATGGTTTAAATATGGTTAAACACTTACACATCAACATGTACCAAAATTGGCTCGATGTACGGAGGCATGCGTTTCAAAGATCTAGACACAGGTTCTAGACGCCGGCACCGCAAACGGACCCGGGCACGGCACGGACAGGGCACGCCATATGCGATGGCAATCGGACAGGGCACGCCATGCGATGGCAATCGGACAGGGCACGGTTATAGGTGTAGACCCTTTAGCGGGTTAGTTAAGTTTAGTTTAGAAGATAGTTAAGTTAGATTAAGATAAGATAAGATTAGATCTAAGTAGACGAAGGACGGTAACAGACGCTGACAGACAAGAGACGGCACGACGGCGCGAGGACTTGCAAGCGCATGTGCGATTTTTGTTTCAAAAAATAAAAATAAATAAAGGATAAAATAAAAAATAAATAAAGGTTTTATTGATTCAGGACTACACGATATAAATATTTCCGTGAGAATTTTCACTCTTTAAAATGGGTAGAAGTTTATATTTCAAATTCAAATCTAAATAAGTGCTATCGACTCTAAAATAATATGTAACAGCTTTGTTCGACGGCAGCAACTGTACAATATTGCTAACTTTACTGTTTTTAAAAACGCAAAACTAAACATATGAAATTTCAGTCTTGACATTCAACGAATGAAAGCTTTTTGACCCAGACCTATTATAACGTGGTTTAGTTAGCTTTTAGGAAGTGTAGAGGTGCTTTAAAAATAAAATTTGTGATGTAGCCTAATCTACAATAGGTATACATCTAGAACAACAAACCAATGTATTTTATTTGCTACTTGTCAGTGCTTTTTCTTTTCTTCTTTTTTTAAATCACCCAATATGACACTCCAGATTAAGTCGAGTAATGCTATACTTTTATCCGCTACAACTTTACGTTACTTTATAATAGTTAATGTTTGGTGTTCAAAACGGGTTTATTTAGCACCATATATACGTATTTACGGTAACTCATTGCAGCAAACAGGTCATGAGACATAAAGTAGG